GTTGTAGTTGTTGTGGTGGTTATGGTCGTTGTAGTTGTTGTGGTAGTTACGGCCGTTGTAGTTGTTGTGGTAGTGACGGCCGTTGTAGTTGTTGTGGTAGTTACGGCCGTTGTAGTTGTTGTGGTCGCTGTTGTCGTTGTGGTCGTTGCGGTCGTTGCGGTCGTGCTCGTGCTCGTGCTCGTGCTCGTGGTTGTAGTCGTAGTCGTAGTACTTGTTGTTTCAGTAGTTATGAACCCTGGCATACTCGCAGGTTTAATGATTCATACGAAATAAAGATTGAATTTTATTAAAATTCTCGTCGAAACAGACTAATAAAAAAGTCTGCTCGTCGAGTTATTCACATGATATGTACAGAGGGTGTGGATGTGGATGGATGAGCTTAAAATTCACACCTAACTTCAGGAGGATCCCTATTTTTCCGATGTAGAATAGACTTTTATACGCTAGAAAAATAGCGCATGATGATCATATTGATTCATCCAGAACACGGTTTGAAAAAGATATCCATTGTATATAACTTTGGATAATTTCCTTAATTTTTACGAATTTTTCGGAAGTTTAATATAAGCTAATGGATTCTGACGAATTCTAGGATCCATTAAAATTTGCTTCTTCTTCCTTGACTTCTACTCGAGATTATGAAGATACTTTGAAACTATTCTCAAAGAAATCTTCTTGAAAACTACCTGAATATCTCGCTGCATGATGATTCACACGATTATCAACAAAGCTACTGGTAATGCACTATGCAAATAAAAATCAGCTAGTCTCTCTGCAACTCTCTCGACTGGTTTCTGGATAAATGTCTAGACAAATAACTTCTTAGACAGCTATCTAATTGACATCTCCAAATGTCTCTTTGATAGACATGATCAGCAAGATTCTCGACACGTTCATTCATAACTCTCTTATCAAACATCCTGTATGTTGTCTAAAGGTTCTTCATATTTAAGTATAAATGTCGAGAAGATTCTTCGAAACGACTCTGTCACCATATCCTTATTAAAACTTCGTGGGTAATTCTGTGACTCGAAATCAAGGAGATGTTTTTGTTGAAATATTTTTTGATGTTCCTTATCTTTGCACTATCGAAAAAACAAATTTGTTACAAGATGTAAAAAAAAGCAGGAGCCTGGAATATGTAAAAAGTAATTACCTGCTATAGTGGTCGCAGCTGTTGTCATCGATTGATTAATGGATGGTAACTGTAGAAAATAGAATCTACTATTCGCATTGTTGATCATTTGAAAGAAGGACGAATTGAGATACATATCTGAAGTAAACAGTTGACAAGTGACACTGCTGTCATTGTTAGTATAGCAATTCAATGATAGGATCGAGTTATTTCCAGTTGCATTGAACATCATACACAAACACTTGTTACATGTTGATTCTTGTACCGTTATGTTAAAGTCAGATAAGATCAGTGAAGCATTATTAATAGTTCCCACAAGGGTTGCATCGATACAATTAGTAGTAAAGAAATAAGAAATAATTAAAACCAGAAACATCATATACTGATAGTTATATGAAGACAATAATCAGGAAGACAACAATGTATTTGCTAAAAGTTTCACTTCTCTATCAGTAAACGATACATCAAATTTTTTTTGAAAAAAACATCGGAGTTCTGTAAATACAGTGAGATGAACGAGAATAAGCAGCATAATAAAATAGTCATTATATAGTTGGTCATATAGTAGTAAATGGTTTTTCAGTCTCATTATTGATTACCGCTACTTGTTTGTCATTCTAGTCCGATTCTTTGCTTTGAAAGCGATAAAAGACAAATAATACATTTCAGTTGACAACTTAGAACCTCATTGTACCAATGAAAGATAAATAGTACTTAAATAAGAATTGTAGTATGATATGATTGACTAATAATGCAAATATGTTTGTATGTATTCTCAAATCGTAATCGAAGATACGTCACAACTTAGCTGATTTCTATTTCGATGAGACGATTTTAAGATGTTTCCAAACTAATTTTCTGTGACGTCACAAGATCATCAGTTTTCTTTTTTTTAATGGTGAATTTGAATGCATACGGATTTGATGCAAATACCTACAATTTATATGCATTCGTGTTGAAATCTTTGTTCTGAATATCGAGTAGAACCTTAATCCGATTGACCATTTCCTATTATCATCATTTCATAGACTTATATAGCCTATTCTTCTTTTGAAACATGATCTACAAGAGGGTGAGTGTGGACGCGAGTTTGAGATATAAGTGAAGAGGACATCAACATTCACACATATCTATCTTCTCCGTACACGCATACCCTCATCTATAAACTTGAAAAATATTAAAACTAATGGCTGTTTCTTCGTCAATAATAACAATTATTTCATTATGCATCATCATCTTTTGTCTCTGGAAAAAATTCATTAAAATTATGTAAATTACATCATTTTTTGCCATTTTTTTTTATTTATTGAGTCATACTCAAACCAAGTTGATCTTTTCTCATCCGCTTCGATCCTTGACATACAAAATGAAAAGAGACTTTCAAGGTAAATTTCAAATGTTGTATTAGCAGATATTTTTGCAGCCATCAATAAGCAAAGAGCAGAGATAGAGCGATGACTCTCGCACTAATTTGCCATACGAAAAAGAAAAGAAAAAGAAAAGTTCAAGTTTTTATCTTTATTAAAAGCAGAACACTCGATCGAGTGTAAATCAATTCGACCATTTCTCTTTCTAATCAGGGCCATGTCCGAACAATTGCGTCAACAATTGAAATCTTTAATAGTGGAATGTATTCAACATCCAGACAAACTTGACATGTACACGAACAAGATTATCGATTTATTCGAAGTCAATGATGAACATCTTATTCAAACTAATAATCCATCGTCCCGAAGAAGCAGCAGTATTTTCGACATGGATATTTCTTCAATATTTCCATCAACGAGTCAACGTCGTCGCTCAAGTACTTACAGTAACACAAATCTGGCGAATAATACCAGCAGTGCATTTCATAACAATGATGGCATTGATTGATTATCTTTTGTCATACATCACCTGCCTATTCAAATCTTTCAAATATCGCTTTAAAAATATTGATTTTTCTCACTTTCAAATGTAACATAATGTCTGATTTCTTTTTCCTACCGAAAAACTCCAAGAATGCATTCCGATTGTAATTTCTAAGTAGCCATGAAAAAATAAATAATGATATATCCATTACTAAAACCGCTTCATTTGAGGCAATTTTTATTTGTTCAAGAAATGGCATTCTGATTGAAAGCTCAGATAATTGATTTAACTCTCATCATGCCATTCTCAAAATTAAAAAAGTACCTGACATCTCCTTCGAGAGTCTATTATAAAAAGTGATTCTGAAAAGTTTATCTTACCATCTTTTACTCATGTTTTTTTTTCTAATGCGTAATGGTACTGAGTGTCAAAATAACGAGATTTTATATTTCTGCAATTTCGGTCGATGTTTGTTAAGTCAAACAGCTATAGAGAAGCAAGCAATTGTGAAAGGTTCCATGCGTTTTTACGGCGCTTATATGAGTATTCACTGCAGAAATTGACAGTTCTTACTCAAAAGCTATCGATATTGAACCGACTCAGATTAAAAAATGTTTCTAATTTGCTCTCATATTTCTGTTTCAACAAGACGAACCCTTTAAATTGGGAGCCCTCACATGTTTGGAAAAATTTTACAGATCTTATTCTGAGCTTATATAGTGAACGAAAAGTCTTTAAACAAGATTAAGTTCGGTCAGTTGTTAGATAGCGTCATAAACAGCAGAGTCGTTAAGGTTCGGAAGACTCAAGTCTTGCCTCAAAAGTGATGAGAAATGCTTGGAGTGACTCGTTATTTGAGAAAATTTTACGAATCTCATACTGAATTCATAGTGAATGCTCCGAAAATGTTATCAACATAGTTTATTTTGTATATATGCTTGCATACGCCAATAGTAAAACCTTGATTTATTTTTTGAAAAGTTACCTTTCGGTGGTTTCTAATACTACTATCAATAAAATCTTGTTGACTTATTCTAATGGATTTTAGAAAACTGAAAGAAAAATGTATAAAAGGCTTCTACTTCCGATTATATTGAAGTTGACCAACATATTTGAAATAATATCTATTTTTTGTTTCTTTTTGTACTGAAAAATGATACAAACTTGAATTGTTTTTAAACATATGTCATTAACCTTCACAATATTTAGAGAAAAAGTAAAGATGTACGAGAAACTAATTTTTCACCCTCACAGTAAACTAATCGCTCCAGAAATGTCATAATGATTATCAAAAGCAAACTTAATGTACAAAAGCACATTACTGAATACAATCACACTACCAAAGTAATTCGTTCCCGGCTCGAAAATCGTGTCAAAGAATTAAAAGTGAACAATTAGGCGATTCATCATTAGAATAGAGGAAATAATTCAATTGAAAAGAGTAAAAAAAATATAGTATTTTGTACGTCGTTCGTTTTAGTCTTATCAAAATCAATTCTCAAAAGTCAAAAAAACTTTTTGCTTCATTACAAAAAATTCCACTTTCCAGAACTTTCGTGCAAAGATAAATAAGACAGGAAATATTATAAAATATTTTTATTACTTCCAATATAACGAGCAGTAGCAATATTTTATACATTCTTTCTTTCACTTTTTTAAGAATTCATTAGAACAATTCAACAAGCCCTTGTGACGCAGTTGTCTTAGAGAATTCAACAAACAACTTCTAGGACTGTTTCCTTCGGAATTTTTCTAGAAGTCCCTGCACCCATTTCATCGTCAAATGAAAGAAATTGAGATAAAGACAGGTGCTTGGCTCTATGTGAGGGTAGACAAGAGTCGAGACCAATAACTAGCGTGTGGGGTATAGAATGATGACATCAACATCAACACCCACACACTCATACCCTATCGGAACAACTGGTATCTCTTTTAAAACAGTTAAATCTAGAGCGCACAAAATGCATCCTCTTTGTATTACCCGCCCATCAATGCCTGAGAAGTTTTGAGACTTCCCTAGAATAGAATCGTTTCACTGGCTATGCCCACACCGACAACCGTAATAATAAACAATACAATTCAAAAAAACTTTTTGTGAGATAGCTTCATTTTTGCCTTGGAATTTTGCTTATTACATTGAATCATGTGAGAAAGTAAATCTTCCAACATTGTGGCGTGGCGTGTACCTGTGAAGATACTGAGTCAGATTTCTCTTCTATTTCACAGCAAGTAAATACGAATTATTCACCTAATAAAGATAAGAAATACGATGCAGCAGAATAGCAACTTGAATCGTATTTGTTTGAATGTTGAGTAACATTTGACATCATTTACACAAACTTTTAGTTCAGATTGTCAAAAAAATGCTACTTCAATTGTTCTTCATGGCGATATTTATGTGAATTAAGCTTGCTCAATAGTCCTTGTCTGTTAGAAAATGCTATCTACAGAAAAGTTTTATATTCATAGCTAATATCATACTTGACAGATCATCTCTTTTATAAACTTTCGTATTTTTAAGGAAGTTTTCTCTAGATCTATAGATTTTCGTAAAAGCTCTGAAAAGGAATTTCGTGAAACATCAATCAATAGTTTTCTTTGTGAGTGATTTTTGTAAAAAAAACACTGGAAATAGTTAAGCCGCATTTTAAAATATACATTTTCAGATTACACGAAAAACTCTTAATAATGAGCACCCATGAGACTTTTTCAAAGTGCTTGCTATACGGAGATGCATACTATAGAGATGATCATTTCCAGCGAAATATTGTTGGACGGTCCAGAAAGTGTCCACTAGAAGAATCATCAAGCGAGATATTACTGTAAAATGAGATTGTTTTCTAAATGTTTCTGTTAAGGGAGTCTTTTCCGAGGAAACTTAATGGTTTGAAATATGAATGTTTTACTCTTTTAAATGAGTCAAAAAAAAAATGAAGTATTTATTTATACTTCAAATGTGGCGTGATCTAAGATCGAATGAAAGATTACATCTTCAAACCTGTCCAGTGGATTCCAAAAGTCATATGCGTCTAACACTGAGCGCATTTTCTGAGTTAGCCTAAACAGTTGCATTGAATGAAAATATATTAGTTAATTTTAAAAACTTTTAATTTATTACCGAAGGGAAGACCTGCTATAGACATGAAGAATCTCTTTTCCCATCATAGAGTGAAGTGTATTTTATTCAACTGTGCCTCTTACGTTTAGCATGGACATGTGCTTAGTTTTCGATGCAAACGAGTTTGTGGCACCACAAGTCTAGTTTCAAATTAGATAACCCAGATTCGTCTTGACGCGTAACTCGAAGGACCAAAAGATAGCATCCTTCGGGCGATGAATGCTCAGCTACTATGTAAACTCAGAAGTGCACGACGAAAGTATGTATGCGAGTGAACTATGTTTCCTTCATGCATAGAACATGAGTACAACGGTGTGGGAATGGAATTAGACTACTCGATCCATCAAACTGTCATTTTATTTGTTTGTGCAGGGGAAATTTTTTACAAAAGAAATCATCTTATGTATTAGAGTGTGAAGAGCAACGCTATTTTCTACGACATTGATTCACTCATTTGCGAAACTCGATGACGTAGTCGACAACAAACTGCAATATATCCCTGCTAATCTCATTCAAAAATGCCAGAAAGCTTTAGTTCTATGGTCGGTTGATGATCGCAAAGAGTGGAATCTTCCTCCATCTACACAAGAAGATCATGCCAACGCTGATCGTCTCATGGCTAATCTGGGTCAAACGCATTTAGCACTCGGAGGCAGCATTTTGGACCGTGAAGGCTTACTACACGACGACTTCCAAGTTGCGGGTTACTTGCGCACCAGAGCGATACAATACTATACATTTATCGACTACTATGATGATCCATTGGATCCTTCGGACATGTTTAAACTGATCGAATGGACAGTTTACGAAAAAGACTTTCGGAACGACTTTCCACCTATGTATCACCTAGAGTGCAGCTACGATGATGAATCAGACTCCTTCACTCATGTTTTAGGACGTAGATCAAGCCCACACTATCATGAAATGTTGATTAACTTTTTTGAATATTGTTCATCGTACATGGAACTGAAATCGATGATTATTGATGATGTAACTGGAGAATCACCTATTTCTGTTCTTATTTCATCAAGGTTTTATTAAAATGAAGCACTTGTTCTACAAGAACTCGTCATTTCTTCTTTATAACGCTATCGATATTAAATATTCTCTTTTTTTTTTAATTGATATTCTATTAAAATCATGATTCATAATCGACTCAAGTCATTTTTCCATTTAAACAAGTTTATTTTGAATCATTTGATTTCATCGTATATTTTAAAGTTTAATCACGCTCATCTAAAAGTCATTGCACGAATGCCACAACCAACGTTGCCCAATGATTTTCATCGATTTTGATCTTGATTGTGAAAACAGAAAATAAAAATAGAACTTTTTATATGTTAGTATTTTCAACGTTGAACGCTTTTGCATTGCTGAGAAATAAAGGTTTCATTTCTATCGTCTAACAATAGCGGTCACTCTACCTGACATTTTTCTAAATAATGCCAAGTGTGAATGTTATTTTCGATGAAAAGACAATTCACACCCGCACTAATATTGAACAACAGACTAAATCACAACTTAGCTCAATCATGTAGAATATTTCATCTCTCAAAAACAAAATCCAAAGATAAAATTGTTTTATATAAAACTATAGTTAGATTGCTGATCAACACTATAAAAAAATAACTTTCAATACATTCGTTCATAATTACATTATGAAGGTCTTTGTAAAAGGTGATAACCTGCAAAATTTAGCACAGCTCTATCATAGAACAAAGACAATTTTGGAGATAAGTCGACTCTTCTTGGATACTTTTGTTCTGGTGGTCCTGTTTCCTAGTCTAAAATCTGAAATTTTCTTCGTCGGTCTGATCTAGGATTGCGTTAAAAGCTTTTATTGTTTCTATACAACTGACCACAGTAAAGAGTAATTTAAATATCTGTGACAGGTTGATGACTAATTAACTCGATCGATTGAGGAATATAACTTTGATATGAAGCTATATGAAATTATTTCTGAGTAAGTAATCTTCAATCTGCTTGTTTTGTTTGCTCTGGAGCTTTTAGAAAAACCTTTCTTAAGTCATTCAAAATCAAATAATATTCAATAAATAGTTATATTCTAAAAATAGATTCTTCTGGCTACTGAATCACATCAAAATCGAAATTTCGATAAAAAAAAGTCATGTTATCTGAAGCGGAGACTTTGCCCCACTGTTTTTTTTTATCCGTTGGTATTTTTTGACAGAATTGTTGAATTCACAAAAATAGTTTTCCGCTAGAACTCTTCAAAACAGAAAAATTTTTGTCGGACGCCCTAAACAAGGAGAGCAAAGCGGATACAGCAGAATCTTCTGCATCAACTAATTGTAATCGATTTTTTAAACAAAAAAAAAGCAATTCGAGCACAGTCACTTGACACAAGAAACTCTTGTGCATATTTTTTGTTGTTACTGTCCATGGCGTTTGACAAGATTTTTTTTTCCAACATACTTTTCCATTCTGCTGGAGCTTCAGCAGTAAATCGTTTTTGTTAACTTAATAACTCGATCAAAACAAAATCGAAAAATTATAACAATGTGTAGATTATGTTTTATTTAACAAGTTCAACGACATACAAAAAAAAATCAGATGAGACAAGTTTCTGTTTGTAATCAAACAAGTGCATTATTCTTGTGATTCAAAGTACTATGATGATTCTTACTCGTAAATACTATGAAAAAAAAAACAGTTACATTAATATACAACTAAAGTTGAGCAATATTATCCAACAAAACGCTGAACACATCATTCATATCACCATAACAGAGTTCACCTATTTGTGCAGTTGTATGTTCGCCTAATGCATAAAGAGTCATCTGTGTCAATGATGATTGAAATTGATCTTTCACATCTTGTTTGATTTTTTCAGCATCGATATTTTGATCAAGATCATGAGAATTCACCATCCATTGTCGTATATCAGCTAGTCGTTCGATTTCTTTTCCATCGGGTTCTTCATATTTTTCCAAGAAAAATTTATGACTATATTCTGTTTTACATTCGAGTTCATCAGCAAAGTAACGTTCAAGTAAACTAGTCAATTGTTGAGCATTTTGAAAAATATGAAAATACGATTGTCGATCGTCTTTATTATCATTTTTCTCAGCCATTTTGTAAACTAAAATATGCTTATGATCATTGAAATAGAGTGCTTCAAATGGTATTGATGAATCAGAATCACAAATGAGAACTCGAGCATGTTCGATCAATTTTAATGTGTTCGTTTGTTTGTCAGGTAAAATATTTTTCGACGTGAGAAAATGATGTACATGTTCTTGTTCCAATTTGCTTAGAGATAACATTGGATTATCATCGTTCTTAATTTGATGCGTAAGTGGATGTAGTTTGATAACATGTGGAAACGGGAAAGCAACAATTTGCTCGACAATTTCTTTGTTCGACAAAAGACTAAATGGAGCATCTTCAGATGAAAAACTTGGACAGATGACAATATCAGCATTTTTATCGACGTCAATAGATGATAAACATTTCGTACGAATATAATTAGTAAAAGTAATCGGTAGTCGATGTGAATATGCATGAGCACAACTTTGACATCCATACATGCAGTGACCCGTGGAATAAACATCAATAATTGAAGGTGCATTTTTTTGTATGCTAGAAAAGAAACGAAACTGTAATTGTCCAAGTGAGTAGTTTATAGAAGCAGTGAGAAGAACAACTACGCGTTGTTGTTGTCGCTGTTGCACGACTAACTCTGCAAGAATAGCATCAATACTAAATTCATGTACTTTAACATGAATTGATCTGGCAAAGTAGTCTCGTACTAGCTGTCGAGCAGGATTCCATTTATAAATGAAGAGATGAACATCGGCAAACGAGACGAACGAAAGAATCAATTCTATATGAGCGTAACCTGTATGATAAGGCACGAAAAAGACCAAATTATTGGGCATTTCTATTGTCTAGTTATGGTATGCAGATGATATAATGACTGATGTTTCAAATGCGTCGATCTTTTAATGATTATTTCTAAATGCATTATGTGATGATTTTTTTAATAATCAAGTAATGCATTAAGATTTATATATATTCAGAATCAGCATAATTTTCATAGTATTATTCCTAAATGTTATGCTAGCTATTTCTAGAAAAATTAATAGATGACGCTCTCTATCAATAATCTGTGACAAGAGAAAGTTATACTATCAAAACGCATGAAAAGTTTTTAACTATTAAAAAAATCCTCGGATATGACTCGAAACCAAACAATTCTGTATTTTACGTTTGCCCTTAAGCCGTCTATATTAGCTACATTGACTGTTTTAACTTAGTTTTCAAGTTTGGTTATTTACGATGAAGGTGACACTAGTTAACGACATAAATAAAATAGCGATAATAAAAATAACAACGATAAAAATATGATGTAACGATGTTGTAAGCTATGCATACTTTTTCTGTGAAATTATCTTTTTTGCTGGTCCAGATATAAAATGACCTTAGCATGTGCATCGATGAATTCGTTTTTTGAATCATTTAATGAGTCATTTGCATCAAAGTAGCAACTATAACTATAAGTCAATCATCGAATCAATATGTATAAATGTATTAGAGAGGGCGCTGGAGGCAGAACAGTTTTTCGGAGATTTTGATTTCTGTTGCTAGCATTGATGAACAAATATAGAGGTTTTTGTCTGCATAAATTTTCTTGTTAAAGTCATTTTTCCAATATCTGCATTAGTAGGTGGTATTGAGTGTACAATAATGGCTATTCGAACCAATAAAACACGTGATATTGAGATTCTCTAAAGATATGCTAACGGTAAGATCATCTATTGATATCGAACACTTTATCTTCGGGACATTTAACTGTTATTCGAACGAGAATAATTTTCACTATAAATTAGTATTTTCTTAAAATTCTAACAAAACAACATCTAAATGTTTTTCGACATTAATTGATTTATCTTTTATCTATACATCGTTTTGTCTGTGTGCAATATACTTTTATTCATTGTGTTTTAATGAAGAAAAAAAAGAGGAAACAATATTAATTTTCTGTTTCTCAGAAAAAATAATCGATGATGATTGTTTAAAAAATTCATTACGAAAAGTAGCTGAGAATAGATTTTCATTATCAATTACAAACAATGAATTAAATAATAAACATATTAATTCAAGTTATAGCTTTGAATGTTTCCGAGCTGATTTATTACTTAAATTAACATTTCAAAAACGACAACACCTTTGACTGAATTATTTGAGATGAAATGATTTTCTTTATTATCAAATAATGAAGTCGATTGTCTTTCGTATTAGTACATGGTAATGATGATCAAAGCGATGTTGCACCTACCAAAGTGTAGAAAGCATTTGCCAAAAGCTCCACTATCAAGTAAACAATACCTAAACTTGAATCTTTTCTCTGATATTTTTACTACAAACAGAGCTCGCTGTAACGTGATTCCAAGCACTAACACCAAGTTAAGTGGCCTTAATGCATCGGATTTAGAAAAAAACACTACTTTTTTTTCTTTGAACCTCAAAAAATGTTTTTCTTGGCGATTTTTCGGTTTGCCATTATTTTTGAATGATGAATATTCTTCATTTTATTAACAAATAAAGCTGCACATATCTATCGAGTATCACAGATAGAAGACTCCAATCTGCTGTAATCCTAAGCCGTAGCAATGTTTCGATAAATTAGGACAGTCTTTGCATAGATCTTCGCTCGATCAATTACTATAATCATGAAATTTTTAGGAAAATACTTGATTATATCAGGCAGCTTTCTCAAGAAAATTTTAAAACAAATGATTGATAATAGTCGGAATAAAAGATAAATTTTTGGCAAGTTCCGTCAACTCCGATGCTACGACTACCCAAAGATAACATCATAAAGCAAGCAAACTACAATGGTGTGATATGAAATTTTTATCGGTGATAGAAACAGCTCTAAGCTGTCGATTGAGTGATTGAACGCTCTAAGATTTCTTGCCAATGTTGAAATAGCCTCGTCTGAACAAAATAGCTTTTATTTATTGTTTTAACGTACATATTTTGATAGAGTTCATCGAAGCCATCATGAATATCATCTATTTCTCTCGATTACTGTGCATTTTTATCGGGAAATTTTCAAGACACTGAGAGAATCTAAAAATGCAAAATATCGTTCGTTTTTGAAAAAACATGTCGACATCTTTTCTCCACAAGCAACTATTGTTTTGAAACCTCTTTCTAATTCTCCATGAAAAAGTGCATCTAGGGACAGGACTGGCAATTTTCTTTTACCATAAACTAGAGTTTTTACAGAGTCTGAAACATGCCTTTCTCAAAAGCCGATACTCTCAGTTTGCAACAGGCTCAGCAAAATCAAGAAATGACTTGATTTGTTAAAGTGTTTAATGAACATAGGTTTTTATGGGGATGTTGTTAGTCACATAAAATTTTTGTTAGATAACAATTGAAACAGAATTAAAAGTAAAACTGAACACTGATCATATTGTACACAATTTAGTAATTCTCTTCTAAATAGCTCATTTCGTTTTAAACAAAGTTCTTTTCTGAAAACAATGCAGCCATGTTTCAAAAGTGCTACAAATCGCATGGTAAATAACTAACGTTTCATATATACTTATTTTTTCTAGCTTATATTGGGTTCTCAATTCATTTTTCTCCTTTTTTAAAATATACTTCTATAAACCACCGTCAGATGACTGATGATAGAAGAGTTCATGATTATCTTTTCTTCATTTTACATGATTTGTAAGATAATATATTCGCTGATCGAGTTAATATAATACAGAAAAAAGCGCTCATCGGAATGAAAGATTTATTGTTCTTTGAGAAAAATTGGCAGATCTTCCTTTAACTTCAAATAAAAATCTCTTGGTTTAAAAGTGAATCTCTTAATGAACTCTTGATTTTTCCAGGTTCAGATGCGACATTTTTTAGAGCCGATTCGTCTAGAAACATGTTTCAATACTGCTTTCATCTGTTCCGCGTACAACTCGACAAGCTTTATCCGATGATGGATATGGATTTAGGTTTAGGTATCGGTTAAGTGTGTTGGTATGCGTGTGAGTGTAAGTGTGGTTGTGTCTCTGTGGGCATGAGTGTTAACGTGCATTTTTTCTTCAACGACAGTCACATCTACACCGGCACCCTATACACAGACGTCCACATCTTCTAGTTCAAGCCTTTATAATTCTAAACGAGTAAATTGTCCTTGTACCGATATTTAATTATTTTCATTGTCTATCAATATATTTTGATTTAAAATTGTAAAAGGTGCTGTTGATAATGTCGACATGCAACTAAACAATGAATATTACTGTTACAAGACATATTGGTCCATGTGGAAATCGATTTTTTGCGAGATAATGAACGATGTCGAGAAAAAAGTTTTAACGAATATCAAAATAGTACTATTCTGAAAGAAAGAATTATATGAAATAGATTTTCTTATCAGCTGATCACATTTACTGTTATCTGTTTGCTTGCAACCTTTTAAAAAGGGTGTCGATGGGTGGGTGACCGTGCCTAGGTGTTTGAATTCAAATCTCATATCGACACTAGCATACACAATCGGTACACACAGCCGTGCGACTTGTTTGCTGATACTGTTTGTGTGCGCTGAAAATGAAATCGTAAGATCAAACTCGGAAACGCAAAGAATATTTCTTTTTCGAAGTTAAAACAGTGTTGCAATAGCATACTGCGACACAATAGTTATGAGAACTTTTAATTTTTTCACTAAGGACGGTTACGTCAAGAAGACTGTTGTTGATAATATGGCCGTTTTTCTTTTCAGATGTCTTAAAGTCAGTACTGTTTTATGACAAGCAATAAAATGTATATAGAAACTATTGTAATCGATTTATGCTTGCTTTTGTAAAAACAAAAAAGTAGCAAATAAGCAGAGCAGCCCATCTTTCTTTCTCGTTCTATGTCGTTGTCTCTACCAATAATGCCAATATTCAATCACAAATGAAAATTGAGTTCCCAATCAAATTCACAAGTTTTGTATGTTATTTTCTGATTCGATTGATACGCTTTGGATATTGATGATTTCGTTTCCATAAGAGAATGTGTTATCAATTTTGCATCTCTTATTAATATTCAATATGTGTTGTCAATAGGAGAGCAAGAAGACAATAAGATTTATTCTATCAGAAAATGCCTTTCAATTTATTAATTCAAGAATGATCAAGGTTTGGTTTGGTTTTTTGAAGTGGTATGATTTCAAAAATGATTTCTCTCGAAGACAATCACTTTTATTTCGTGTTAAATCCTAGAATATTTACGAATCGTAGTTCTGTAATGGAGATGCTTGTAGAGCTAGCTGATTGTCAATACTGTATCCACGAATATCTACAGAAATATCGAAGTATTTGTTTTGATGAACTCAACACATCTTATTCATCTTGGTACTTTTCACAAAGTGAAAGCCTTTCGATCTAACAGGAAAAAAAACTGAAGTTTTCAGATATTCTACCATATTGATTCATGCTGGCATTCTAATGAATTTTTTACAAAAATAAATTTGAAGCACCAGATACTGCACTAGATGTCTTGATATTATCTCTTCAGATTATTTCCACATAGATCTTCAATATCTACATGATAAATTCAGAAGTATCATAAAGATTGAATTTCGTTTCTTCTAAGACATCGAATAGAGTTTTACGTCAACATTTTAATAGATAATAATGTTGATTTCCGTAATGAACACGAATTATTTCGGAGTGCCTTCACATGTATTCTAAATAGACGATTTTTTTCTATCTCTTTTTCTCTCCGACCGATTGACTATTTTTGGAGAAGCTATAAAAATGTGAATCTCTGTCTCATGATTTCTTTCCCTATTCAATATTATTTTTGCTTCCATTTCACATTGAAACAATATTCTGCAAGGTAATAAAACGAATACTCTTGCTAAATATTCTTTTTCGAA